AAAAATATGAACAAACGCAGCTCGGTGTTCGAATTAATAAAATGGTGCTTAAAAAAAAAGTTCACATGGTTCCTTGCGATTTAGGGTCATCCGATATATTTTCTTGTGCTTCTTCATAGATATTTTTTAAATACGCGTAAATCGTATATTAGAGAGAGAGAGAGAAAAAAAAAGAAAAAGATAAAATAAAAAAATCCACACACAAATAAAAACAAAATACAACAATTACAATAACATACGATGATATTGTTAGACGGAAGTTACTCGATTTTTACCGTCCTTGCGTTTTAAACAACTATGTAGAATTCAATAATTATTATATTCGAAAACGATTAATTGCGATCGACACTGTTACATTAAAAAAGAACAAAAAAAAAAGAAAAAAAAAATAACCGACTAATTCTTAAGTATGATCCACAGCGACATATACAAAAAAAAAAAAAAAACAAAAAAAAAATTCTCAAACTCACATATAATAGTTAGGAAATAATTCCGATTATATGTCTCGGATGATTTTAATTTTATTATTCGTAAAATAAAAATTTCGTGCCGTAATCGTTATCGAAAATTATTCACAAACAAATTAATATTAATGTATATATAGTTTTTTTTTATTAAAGTAATATCTGATTTTTTTTCTTTTTTATTTTTTCTTGTTTTCTTTTTTCTTTTTTTGTTTATAAATACCAATTTAACGAGTTTCAGCATATCACACGGAAGAAGTTCATACGAGTCGTAAAAAATCAGCGACTCATTTATTCTTGACATAATTAAATTGGACTTTTTAATCGTAAACCGCTATAATAACACAATAGTTAATATATATATATATACAAAAAAATAATAATAATAATAAAAAGTTACAATTCTCTGTCTGTACACGAAAGAAAAATCGTTGCGAACGAATTACTTAAGAGATCTCTCGGCTAAAGGAAAGAAAGAAAAAAAAAAAATAAAAGAAAAAAAAAACCCAAGGAATCTTTTTTAATACTCTTTTTCTAAAAATTATGCCAAAAAATGGTTATAACATAGTGCCCCAGAAAAAAAAAACGCGTTTGCACTTCTATCATCGTAGGTTACCGATCGTCGTGTTACCCTAACTTCGAACTATCCTTTTCAATAAAAAAAAAATAAAATAAAATAAAATAAAATAAAATAAAATTCTTTAAAACTATATAACGAATATGGTTCTCGATGTAACGTCGAGCATTAAATTAAATAGTGAAGCAGAAACGAGGGAGAAAAAAGAAAGAAAAAAAAAATAATAACAATAATAATTAAAAAATAAAAAGCGCTGATAGTATTATCGATGTGCTCCCAGATTCCGTCTAGCGTGTATTCACGTACTGGTTATTAAAAAAGAAAAAAAAAATATTAGGATTACGAGTACACTATTGTGAAAAAAAAAAAGTGCGTTTACAAGGTAATTGTTTCCCCGTTTTTTTTTCTTCTGTGAAAATAAAAAAATCTTTCCATTGAATTATTTTTTTTTTTTGAACAAACCTTTTGTTAATTCTATTTTACACAATATATTACAATATGGAATAAATGATATTTAATTGATCTTGTAAACACCCTTTTTCTCCAATGGGTTTTCTCGTAATATTAAATGATATTAATAAAAGAAAAAAAAAAAGAAAAAAAAAACGGAGAAGATTAAATAAAATAAAAAAAATAAAATACAAGTCGGATCACTTTCGTCGGTCTAATACGCGCGAGACAAAAGAATAAAAAATAAAAATAAAAATAAAAATAAACAAATAATAAACAAAAATAGGGAATATACGACGAAAAGAAAATTTTCACACGATTCGCATGGACGAAAAGTTAAAAACGTCGATTAGATCGACGGATGTTTAAATAATATTAGTCGAGCAAAAACAAAAATAAAAATAATATATATATTATATATATATATATATATTTAAGGATAAAAAAACACATAAATATCGATGTCGATGCATATATTGTAATAAAATTAGGGATACACGTTATTAGAAAATAAATTAATTAATAAGTCGTGATAATGTTATTTCAACATACGTATTAGCCAGGGATACACCTACGAAAAGGACAAAAAAGCAAAGGCAAACAAATAAATTAAAAAAAAAAAGAAAGAAAATAAATAAACAAACAAACAAACAAAATATTAAATTAATTCGCGTCCCATGGCGAACTACGTAGGAAGAAAGGGGGACAATATTCTGCCAAGTACGTTCAA